TCTTCCTCGATTTCTCTGAAACCACTCTCACCATCATTTCTTACAACAGAATAGTATTCCATCACATTTATATACCATAACTCATTCAGCCATTCCCCAATTGGTGGGTATTCCCTCAGTTTCCAAATCTTTGCCACTCAAAAATAACTACTATAATTATTTTTGCACCTTTTAAGAATTTGTTTTGCTTAGAAATAATCCCTCCTTTAATCTACTCTCTCTCTTCTTCCCTTTCCCTTCTGTCTCCCTGTTGAGTAAAATGTATTTTTATATCCAACTATGTGTGTATTTTCTCCTCCTCGGACCAGTTTATGAGAGTGAGGTTCAAGTATCAACTGCCCTCCTTCCCCCTTCCTCCCTGTTTATATAGACTTCTACTTATACACCATGATTATGTGAGATACTTTTCCCCACTCTTCCTCTCCCTTCCTCCCTAGTATATTTCTCTTCTCCCTTTCCATTCTTCTTTTAAAATTATCAAAACATAACAGGATCATTCCCAGGTCCTTTGTCTATTTAGACTTTTTATGACCCTTGATAGTCAACCAACCAATAAATATTTATCAAGTACCCTCTATGTTTTTGTACTAAGTACTGGAGATACAACAAGATAAATCCCTACCCTCAAGGTGCTTACAATCTAATGAGGGAGAAGGCATGAAACAAATATAAACAAAGCAAGCTATAAAGAGAATAAATAGGAGATAATCAACACAGGGAAGGCACTGGAATGAGAATGTAAAAAGTTTATCTTTGTTTAGGGCCTTATAATTGTTTGCTCATGTTTACCTTTTTAATGTTTCTCTTGATTCCTGTTTCTACACTCCAAAATTTCTATGCAGTTCTGTTCTTTTCATCAGGAATACTCGGAAGTCCCCTATTTCATTACCTGCTCATTTCCCTCCCTGTAGTTTTGCTGGTTAAGTTATTCTTGGCTATAAGCCTATATCCTGTGCCTTTGGAATACTGTATTTCAAATTCTGCTACTTCATCGTGGTGATTGCTCTATCATGTATGATCCTGACTGTAGCTTCTAGGTATTCTTTCTTTCTGGCTGCTTGAAGTATATTTTTTTCTTTGATCTGGAAGCTTTGGACTTTGGCTATGATGTTCCTGGAAGTTTTTATTTTAGGGTTTTTTTTGTTTTGTTTTGTTTTTAAAGAAGGTGACCAGTGTTTTCTTTCTATTCCTAACTTTGCCCTCTCGTACTAAGACAGGGGTGGGGAACCTGCAGCCTTGGGGTCACATATGGCCCTTTGACTGACTCCAAACTTCACAGAACAAATCCCGTCAATATCTTTTGATTTGTTCTGTAAAATTTGGCTCAGTCAAAAGGCTGCACCCAAAGACCTAGAAGGTCACATGCTGCCTCCAAGCTACAGGTTTCCCACCCCTATAAGACATCTGGGTAGGTTTTTTTTTTTTAAATGATTTCTTGAAACGTGATGAGTAGGTTTTAATTTTGGTCATGGCTTTCAGGAGATCCAGTGGCTCTTTAATTTTCTCTTCACAACCTAATTTTCAAATCAGCTGTTTTTGCTATGAAATCTTTTATTTTTTCTGTTTCTTGTTTTTGGCTAGGCAACGGGGTTAAGTAACTTGTCTAGCATCACACAGCTAGTAAGCATCAAGTGTTTGAGGCCAAATTTGAACTCAGTTCCGCCTAACTCCAGGGCCAGTGTTTTATACACTAAGCCACCTACCTGTCCCAAAATATTTTATTTTCTTCTATTTCCCCCCAGTCTCTTGTCTTTGTTTTAATATTTCTCGTTGTCTTACAGAATTGTTAACTTCTATTTGATCCATTCTAATTTTCAGGGAGTTTGTTGCTTTGGTAATGTTCTGTATCTCTTGTGTCAAGCTGTTTAATAACCTTTCAAATTCTTTTTTTTTTTTGGTGAGGCAATTAAGTGACTTGCCCAGGGTCACACAGCTAGTAGGTGTTATGTGTCTGAGTCTAGATTTGAACTCAGGTTCTCCTGACTCCAAGGTCAGAGCTCTAGCCACTTTGCCACCTAGCTGTCCCAACCTTTCAAATTCTTCCACAGTTCTCATTTTTTTTTCCATTTTTACCTGCTAGTGCTTTCATTTCATCTATAAAAAACATTTAAAACACCCTATTTCATCTCCTCCAGGAATTCTAGTTCAACTTGTGCCCAAGCTATGGTTTTTGCTGAAACTTTGTTTGTAGAAGTACTCGAGTCAATCTCATCTTTTGGGTTTGGATCTTGAGTATCCTGGTAACCATCAGTTTTTTATGGTAGAATTCCTTTTCTGTCTGTTCATTCTTCCAACCTACTTCCTGACTTTGGACTTTATGTGAGGGCCAGGCTTTGTGAACTTCTGAATCGAATGTAAGGGCTGAGCTAATGTCCTGTAGGGCCTTGTGCTGCTTTCCTGGACGTACTAAGTGTTGTGTTATTCCAGTATAACACAAGGACAGCTCAAGCCGAGGACCTGCAAGCTTTCAGTGCTCTCAACCAACATGGGCAAAGTCCTGGGCAAAGTCTGATTGCTCCCCCCCCCACCAAATCTGAGCTTTTCTTGTTCCTTAGCTCATTTTAGGAATGAGCTACATGCCTGTGGATATTCCTCATTTGAAATCCCGGTAGCGGGGTACTGGACTCAACCACACCGAGCTAGCTGGAAAGCTCTGTTGGTTCAGAGTGACAGAACTGAAGGCTTCACTTTAGTCTTGGATTCCTACCCTGGTTATTCCCTGTATACTTCAGTTGGGGGTGGGAGGATCTAAGATCCCATTCTGTTCCTGAGGTCAAGGGCTACAACGCTGCTCCTTGCTCAGTTAACAGACTAACGGTCCAACACTCACTCTGGAATAACATTCTTGGACCAACGTCTCCTCCACCTGCCCAGAATCTGTGACTCTAAATTCAGTAACTTGTTCCTGTACTGTGCACATTGGGTTCCTCTGTGCTGGATCTAGGACCTCTTCCTGTCCTAATACACAGCCTCTCCCTGCACTAGAATGCTGCTTCTGGCTAGACTCCATTCCCAGATACAGTTCAGATCTGTCTCCCTTTATCAACCTAGGCTGGAAAAGTGACACCGTATGATTTTTTTTTTGTTTATGATTATGTTCTGTTATCTAAAAATCCTTTACTTACCGATTTGGCCATGGTAAATGTTTTCTGAAAGGCTAGTGACAGCAGGTAGATAAGAGAGTGAACCAAACATATCATATGGGGGGGGTAACAAAAATCGAATAATTACCCCCTCTTCCACATAATTCTTTTTCAGTCTTACTGTGACCTTAAGAGAAGGGATATTTTCAAATATATTAGATGAGTATTTCACATACAGTCACTCATGTTAATTATCCTTTTCTAATTCGTTGGGAAAAAAAACACGATCTTTTTCAGCAAGGGAAGGGGGTCTTAGAATTTTATAATCTACATGCAACAATATGCTCATACATTAGCTGGGCTGGTCAAGCTCATTGTGTAAGCTTTGAAGGTAGTTTAGCTTCGTATTCTTTTTTTTTTTAAAGCAATATATGGTAGTGAAAAAAAACCCCACTGATTCTGGAGTCAGAGAACTTTAGTTCAAATCTTGACTTTGCTACTACTCATTAATGTTGTGACCTTAGGCAAGTCATTCAGCCACTTCAGTTTATTCATCTGTAAAATGAGGGCGTTGGCCTATATAATGTATAGTGTCCCTTCCAAGTTTAAATCAATCATTGAATCAATGAGCATTTACTGTACACCTACTATGTGCCAGGTAATTTGCTGAAGATGTGAAAAAAGAAAATGAAAACGGACCTGGCCCTCAAAGGTCTTAAGTGAGGGGGAAGGGAAAATAACATGTAGAGAAGCACTTCTTCAAAGTACCCCTCCAAGGTGTCTTTCAAGAGACCAGCTCATCCTGGTTCCATTATCCTTCTTCCCATCGATTGGTAATGTTTATTTCTCTGTAACCATTTCAGTGCCTGGTGTTAGACTCCAAGGTACTCCAGGACAGTCGCTGCGTTCTCTCTGTGTCTCTCTTTCCAAAGGCATCTTTCCACAGCTCCTGGAGTAGGCAGTCAGTCCAGTCATTGATTTTCTATTCTAAGAAACTGCTCAAAGCTCTTCCAACCAGGCCCTCTCCCCTCTGGGAAAGGAAGAGGTAATATGCTTGGCACGTTGTGAGTTGTGGTCTCTTCAGAAAGGACCCACGAGTCCTTGCCTCCCAGACTTAAGGAATCTCTGCTGGAGGCAGCAGCAAAATAAGAGGGAAAACTATTCAGAAACAATGCAAAAGACCTCCTCATTTTAAGGAAGAAGAGGCCAAAGGAAACGGCAAAAAGCCCTGTCACCGAATCTGATTACTTGGAAGAGGTCAGAGCCTGGACACCCTTATGAGGCCTCCCCAGAGAGTAAATCCAGAGGGTATTCACAGAGTAGAGATGGATAGGTCAGCTGTACTTCTCGTTCACACAGCTGCTGGGGCAATCCTGGAGATTCAACAGCAACCACTGACCAAAGGGCCGTGTCTTCCCCCCTCCTTTTACAAACTGAGCAGCCTCGGGGTCCCACAGGGTATTCCGGGATTAGGGGTGGCTCTAGAGAAAAGGGGAAAGGAATCCTGGGTCACCGGCCTCAGGGCCACCACGATGAAAGGGAGGCGCGGGGTGATGGGGGGGGTGTGATCTCGAGACCCCTGAACCGGGCGCGGGAGAAAGTAGAGAGCGCGTGACCCCAGGGGGGGGGGGGGGGAGCAGCGCGAGAAGAAAGGGGAACGCGCGACCCCAGGAGAGGGAGGGGGCGCGAGACTCCACACTAGGGGAAGGGGGCGGGGCGCGAGAGAAAGCGGAGAGCGCGCGACCCCGAACTGAAGGAGGTGGGGGCGGGGAGGAGCGCAGGAATAAGAGCCTTGGAGAGAAGCGCGCGGCCTCTGGCTCAGCTCAGCAACACCTGCAGGAAGAGCGCGCGAAGAGGTAAGAGAAGGGTGGCGTTGGATGGCGGCCACCGAGGCTGCCAATGGAGCCCCGTACTCACCTTCTCGGAGGCCCCGGGCCGGAAGCCGAGCCCAACTGACTTGAGCCGGCCCCTCTAGGAAACCTCGGAGCAGCCGCCTACAACCTGACAACAGTACCCTGAAGGCCGCCATCGTGAAGATCACCTGTGACCGCCTTGCTCTTGCGCTTCTTCCGCTTCCGGGGCAGCTGGCACGCAATCGCACTGGCGAAGAGGGTGTCCCTCAGCATGGGGGCCGCCATCTTGGTTTCTCTTCCTCCAGTTCCCACTTGGGGTGGGGGTAGGGAGACAAGCGCTGGAAAGTGAGGGCTTCTGCCTTTGTTGCATTCCCTCGTCCCAGGGCCAGCCTTCCTCCTGAAATATACCAAGCATCGCCCACCTCTCCTTGGTTAGTCCGCAGCAACTCTTAGGTTATCCGGGAATGTAGTATCTAGAAAAGACCTTTGATACCATCTGGTCCAGAGCCCTCCCCCATTTAACAGAAGAGGAAACAGACTCAAAGAGATGACGTGACCTGCCCATGGTGGCAAAAGCTGGGCTTCCTTATTCTTTGTAGGACACCCTTTCCACTGGCAGCAAGGTGGCACTGTGCTGGCCCTGGATGGAGTCTGGAAGATTTGAGTTCAAATCCAGTCTCAGACATTTACTAGCTGTGTGACCCTGGTTTTGTTGTTCGGTCGTTTTGTTTAGGTTTAGGGGTGCTGGGACCCCGAAATAGCAAGGCTGGTCCTGCCTCTAATGAATTCCACCCAAGCCTTCTTTCAGCCAGAGACAGGATTTATTAGAACACCAGTCAAGGTTGGGGTAATTCTAAAAATCCGCCCTTTGGTAGAGGAGACTCTTTTTATAGGAGAAAGATCTGGATGGGAGTGGTCAGTACGCCGGGGTAACTGAGAAGTAACAGAAAAGGAACCATACACTGGACAAATGCTAGGGACCTGGACCAAGTGGCCATGGGACAATGGAGTCTAGATGGAATGGAGGGTGGGGCTGGGCTAGGTTAGAGGTAATAGAGAATTGGGAGATTGGGTGTAGGCCCCAATGAAAGGCCAGTTGAGAGGATTACTGGGTTGGGTGGATGACTCAGGCCAATGCCAGAGACTTGACCAGGTATGGAACTTCAAGGACAGTTGGGGGGGGCAGGGGGATTCCCAGGGCCCTTACCCGATCATTTTCAACCATGTTTGGTTTTTTGTGACCCCATTTGGGGTTTTCTTGGTAAAGATACTGGAGTGATTTGCCATTTCCTCCAGCTTATTTTACAGATGAGGAAACTGAGGCAAACAGGATGAAGTGACTTGCCCGGGCTCAGTAAGTATCTGATTTGAACTCAGGAAGATAAGGCTTCCTGACTCCAGGCCTGGCAGTCTATCCACTGACACACCTAGCTGCCTTGTGAGCCACTTAACCTCTATGGGCTTCCGTTACCTCAACTGTAAAATGGGGATAATAATAGCACCTACCTCTCAGGGTTGTTGTGAGAATCAAATTTGCAAAGTGCCAGGCATGTAGTAGAAGCTATATAAATGCTTATTCCCTTCCCACTGCTCCATACTGCCTCTTACTTTTGCCAGGGACTTCACTATAATGAGGTGGGTAAGTGTGATCTTTATGAACTATAAGGGTTGCATGAATATGGGTGATGGTTTGCAGTCTAAAGCAATGCAGTATGGTAGAAAGAGCAATGAACTTGAAGTCTGGGAACCTGGGTTTGAGAATCCGTTCTATTACTTTTTAGTTCTGTGTCAAGTCACTCCCTCTCTTTGGGCCTTAGTTTCTCAGATGCTGCCAGATCTTTCCAGATCTCTTATGCTTTATTTGTGAACTTGTGTCTCGACAGCACCTATCAAAGTGCATATGTAGATGAATACATGATAATATAGTTCAACAAATGCAGAACTAGATATGACTGGTATGCCAACAATATGAGAAAAGGCTAATGTGACCTTTAAATGTGACCATTAAATGAGCCAGAGTGGCCAGAATAAAGAAAGTGGTAGTTTTACTGTACTCTATCCTGGCC